CTGTGATTTGAGGATGTCAAAGTTACATGAGATTTCAGCTTTTAAATGCAATGTAAATAGTTACCTGGATTTGCCATTCAGCAGACATCAGCTAAGGGTTCATGACCACTTTGTGCCAGGATTATGGAACATACACTATGGAGGAAGATAACCAGATTAACAAATAATTGTAACAAATAAGACTTTATGTGCTCTAAAGAGGTATGTAAAAAAAGATTTTTAGGAAACATAGAAGTGGAAATACTTTCTTTGATGCTAGTGGGGGAGTAGGATTGATGTTGGGAAGGAGTTCATAATTTGTCTCAGTGTGGATTCGCAATAAAGGATTTTAAGTTTTGAATTAACAGTTGAAACTATCACAAGAACAGCAATAACAATATCTCCGCACATATTTATGACTTCTATGTCCAGACGTATTATTTTTATGTAGGTATATTTTAAGAACATTGAAAAAGATATTAAAACGGGTTATAAAAATTTTTTGTTGTCTATAATTGCTAAATGACCTAATATATTTAAGACAGTTTGTAATTATTTGATTAAAAACAAAGATAAGACAAAGATGGCAATAATGTCACACAGGCATAGCAGGTATACTGACAGAGAACACAACCATGCATGCAGCAAGAACATATCTACCAAGAAGCTATAAGGGTGAGACATAAATTTGTCTAATGAGTTCTTTTAGCCGATGTAGAGGGGGAAATATGATCAACTGATGAGTCACAAAGTTCCTTAAAAAAAATCACTTGTTCGAGAGAATCTCAATAATTCCTAAAAACTGAGACCAGAAAGGAAAATTTCTCAAAGATGAACATCCAGAAAACACTGCGGTACAATGACCATCATATTCTACAACATTGTGACATAAACACAGTGAGCAAATCCATAGAGTATTGCTTATGGGCTCCCTCAACATAGGTAGGGGGACCCCACCCAATACAATTCCAGAAAATCAATTATGTCATAGGATTAACACAATGTGTTCCATGTAAACTGCTCTGAGATCAACTAGTTTAATCCAGAGGGAGATTTTGGATTATACTCAACCCTGAATATGCAAGATTTCATATCCTTCAGGAAATCTTTAATCAACAGTGTTTTCTCAGTTAAGCTTCCAATTTATATTGGGTAGTTATGAGCTCCATATTATATGCTCTGAAAACACTTATAGCTATGCTAAGCTGCCATTTCTATGCAAAGCTGTTTGCTTTAATAAAGAAAATGGTAGCATCTTTGACATTGAAAGAAAAAAATTGAAAATCTAGTAAGGTTAGAAGACAAGAATCAAAATATTGTTCCTGTTTGTAAATTTTTTTTGAAAGAGAGAGAAAAACAAAGAATTATTGGAGGACAAGGGGAAGAAAGGAGGGAGAAAAGGAGAGAGAGAAACACATTGTTATTGGACCTCTAATGTTTTCTGTGTTGTACAAAATTTACTGAAGCAGTAGAGTAGAAGGGTCAGGAAAGGGAATGGATATTTACTGAGTACCTTCTAATCATTCTTTCTAAATATTTATTGAGTATCTGTTTATAAGGTGTCAGGTTTGGGGAAATTAACAGAAAAAATGTTTACAAGTTGTTACATCTGAGAACCCAAATTATATGAATGCTTGGCTGAGCCCACTTTAAATGAAAGTTCTGGTCCTGAATTACAAATTGTTCATGATAGAAACATTCTGCTGCAGAGGAATTAACAGAACAACTATAGTTAGTGGAAATTTACTTTCTGCAATTATTGCTGATGGCAACAGAACCTAACAAAACATAAAATAGGTGAATCTCAAACCAAAGAAAGACAACAGTGCCTCTGCATACTGAGTATGATTGAGAGTTAACATGACAGGACTTTGAGCTCCACTACTTACTAACTAGATTCTCTTTTGCCTTTATTTGGACAAAGGAGAGAAAGAAAGGGCAATTTAGAGGTGAATGAGTCCCTGAGGTATTGGCAAGAGTAGTTACGAAGGCAAACTAACTAAAGGTACCAGGCCAATAAACCAAATTTGCCAGTTATGATTCTTATCTCACTCAAGTGGAAAAGTACCTGAATGTCATAATGTTTCTTGAAAAAGTCCATGAACTGTTGCTATATTAAACTAAAAACAACTTGGTATAAATTCTTGGTTAAATCAAATAACATCCTACATTAGATTCTACTATAGATAAGTAGCAGATGAAATGAAATATTTTTTGAATATAAGAAAACATTTACTGTTAAAAGAATTTTTTTTTTTGTACATTGGGAAACATTTGCTGTCACCAAAGGAGATCTTGAAGAGAAACTAAAAACTGAGCAGGTTTCACAGGAGTATAAGAAAGGTTAACAGAAAGCTCTCTATGGTTCAGGTAGAATGATGAAATTAATTGGGAAGAAGACAACTTAGTGATTTTTTTCTAAGTGTACCTAATCAATGTTACAGTTATATTAAGCTTTCTTTTTTCTTATTATACAAGTTACATTGCTCTTCTTAGCAGTGTGTCAACTAATGTACTGAAGGATTTAAACCGAGTTCTATGTCGGAGAGCAGTTACTTACTGATACCTTAGATTTCTGTAGATATCTTTAGTAACTTAGATTAGGTAAGAGACAAGTCAGTTATTATCATAAATTTCTACAAGAAAAGTAGGCCTGGGAGGCATGGCTGATAAGCCAGAAGAAACTGGTGGGTCACCATGTTGTTTGTTTCTAAATCCAGTGGGTTTTTTTTCTATGTTATCATGCCATCATACAGCTTATGATTCCTTAGTATGTAGAGATTGAATGAAAAGTTTCTTCCTAAAAGTGAAAGGATTTCTTTTTTTTAATTAAAATTTTTTCTTTTACTTTTTAAATTTTATTGGAATAAGAACACTTAACATGAGATTCACCCTCTTAACAAATTTTTAAGTGTACAACCACAGTACTGGTCACTCTAGGCACAATGTTGTACAGCAGATCTCAAGATCTTACTCATCTTGCGTAGCTGAAACTTTATACCTGTTGATTAGCAACTCCCTATTTCCCTTTCCCCCCAGCCCCTGGCAACCACCATTCTGCTTTCTGCTTCTAGGGGTTTGACTATTTTTAGATTCCTCTTAAGTGGGATCATACAGTATTTGTTCTTCTATGAGTGGCACATTTCACTTAACATGTCCTCAGGGTTCATCCATGTTGTTGCATGTTGCAGATTTCCTTCTCTTTTAAGGCTGGATAATATTGTAAGTAAAAGGATTTCTAAATCAAAAAAGTTTATACTGCACAGAAATTGCAGAAAAATTGTATTCAGTGCACACTGTATTGATTTCTGTGACAAGGCATTCTAATTATTCATGGTAGCTCCTGAAATACAGGAGATTTTCCAGCCCCTGTTGAGCATAGAGATTCAATTCATCTCTATCCAGGGAAGCAGATGCCTTGCAAACTAGCACAGCAACATGTGCTATTCATAACATATCTATTCAATCAAAGACATACAAATAATTTCAGAGGGAAAAAAAACACTACCGTATTCAAAGTAGATATTGACACACAAAGATGTGTATCTCCAATATGAAAAAAAAATGTGACTTGGAATCAGTTAAATAGTGTTGTTTCTTTACATTTCAGTCATTTCCTGTTTTTTCCTATTTCCAGGGGATTGATTTTTTAAGTAAGAAGGGACAGATAGTTCCCAATGTTAGAAGAGTTTTGTTTCACAGCTAGGGCAGTAGAGGAAAAGGCAGTAAGGTTGACATCCCTGGAGATAGCAAATGGAGACAGAAGGTCGACCGTAGGCAGGATGAGAATAGGAGATGATGGACACAGGCCATGTACAGGGCTTGGATGGAAGCAGGATTTTGGAAAGCTTTAAACCTAGTGAGAGCAAATCATACTGTCTATGACAGACAAAAGTACTCAGTTGATTATAACAAGAGTAAAACTGTCAAAGTGATGCCAAAAAAAGTAGGAAACATTTTTTTTAATTAAAAATCTCTCTGAGTTTGAAGTAGAGAACAAAAATTTTTCATCTGTCTACACTGTCAGCTCTCTATGCATGTGAAAATGTATTTATTATTTTCTAAATTAATTTAATGAGTTCCAGATTGTACAGGATGTCAATCAGGAAACAGGATTATACAAGATAATAAGGAGTTTCTCCTCTAAATGAGTTTTACCTAGACTCCCTGTGTCGTACTTTTGATCTTCACTGTGTTTCATTTACCACTTTGAAGGAGGTTACATAAAGGGTAAAATAATAGAAACTTAATCAGGAAACAGATTTTATTCTTGCTGCATTTTATTATATTCTCTTGCCATGTTCTTTAGCCTAATTCTTGAAAATAATAAAAGATGTGTCATTTTAAAATAAGGACAATTGAAACCACATTGCATTATAATTGTACATCTTTCCTCTGAGCCGTCCCAAACATTTCACACCAATTGATCATCAGAACAAACTTGTGGACTGTTTAGAGGTTATTGGTAGGCAGTATAAACTTCCTAAACTCTACCTTCTGTAAAATACTAGATAAATACTATTGGTTGGTGAATTTAATTTTACAGATGAAAAAGAAACACAAAGAGGCAAAATAATTTCTCAGAAACAGATTCTTGTTTCCAAAAATCCTATCAAATAACTTTTTGACTATTGTACTAGTAATAGCACAGTATGAACTGGCCCCATTAGTCAGAGCATAGAGTGTTACAGTGAAAATAATTTCTTGGTGAGTATTATCATGGCATATAAAGATGTATAGTTATACTTCACACATGACTGATTTTGTTAATGTAAAGCTTTTTTCTGGTAGACAAATCTCTGCATATGCTTTATATAACCCATACCAAAATAATTAGTCTACTTGGGTAGGCACTTGGGTTCTGAAACCTTACATCCATGACTTTTCTGCCATCCTCAATCAATTTGGAAAAACTTCCAACTTGGCAACAAGTTTATCTCTTGAATTTCCAAATAAATACTTTGGAAAGTTGAGTTTACTTGTCTAACATTTTCTCATTTCATTTCCTCATCACCGGCCAGATAATCACCATGGCCACAGCCTAGAAGAAAGAATCATCTATGGAGTGGAAAATAGTAGCACGTTCCTGGAATGCAGTCCAAAATCACAGCGAGCTCTGGTCTATTGGCAATTCCAGAGGCGAAATGAAGAGCGAAAAGAAGAGGTAAAGGGATGAAACTATCTGGATTATTTCTATCTAACATATACTGTTATATGACCCTATCATGGTTGACTTGAGGGGGGAAAAAAGTACTTTGAATCTTTATCTTTTTCTTAACCCATCAATAGCTCATTCATTAAACAAGTATTCATTGAAGGCTGGTTATATGACAGGCTTTGTGCTAGAATTTGAAGAAACAAAGGTGAACCAGTAAGAGTTTTGTCCCAGAAGCCATTTGGGGATACATTTTAGAGTCTTGTTTTTACTTCCTATAGCTATCTACAAAGCAATTATATTAGCTATCTTTGTGTACAAAAAAAAATAAATAAAATCCTCCTACTAATTTTAACTTTCGTTCAATTAATTCTGCTATCCAAACGTGTTTTCCTTTCTCCGTTAACTTCCTCCTCAAATGGGGAGGGGAAGTTTGGGGAAGGGAGTAATAGATTTAGGATGAAGGATCTCAGGTCCCAGTATGAAGTCTAATATGAACTATGCCTGTAGCATCAGACAGATTTCCTCTACACTGGATCCATTTATTTCTCTGTAAAATTTAAGAATTGTACTCAGACAATCTCAGTGAGTACTCTGAGTCTTTAAAGCTTTTTAAAAGCATTAAATAAGAGTAACCAAACTACGTAGGTGATTTGTAAATGTATAATGTGCAGACAATTTGACAAACGTAATCTGAATATAAAGGTAAAAATCCTCCCATTATCTTCTTTGACATTTGAAGCAGTCTTGAAATATGTAATCACATCACATAAATGTCAAGGTTGATTTTATGTTACCAGCTTAGGCTTTCAGAGATCTCTGTTGTAAACTGTATTCAAAATAAAACTGAAGTTAGATATATTGAAGAGCATATCTTCATATTTATGTTATGTCTAAAACCTTGGAATTGAATAATTAATTATTAAACATGTAATGTCATGCTTTTTTCTGCTTGCTCAATGGCTGATTTATTTTTTCAAATCTTATTATAAGTTTATTCTCATGCTACATTGTTTTCTAGTATTATGGTTTTGCATTTCCAATTCCTGTATTTAATGTTAACTTTCTTCTGTATTTGTATACCTTCTTTCAAATTTATAAAATAAAGTATATCATTGTCTTTTCTTCCCATTATCTTGAATATTTTAAATTATTATAATGAGAAATTCAATTAAAACGGTAGACAATTAGTATTTTGCAATGCGTCTTAAAAACAATTGACAGAGTTTTATAACTCTTTTCCTTCAGGGGAAAATGCTATCATTCCTCTTCAGCTAGAAATTTTATTAACTGTTAAAATGTGCTTAAACACGTAATCTAAATTTTTACTGAGACAGAGTTTCAGAACTTATATTCCTTTTAAATATATACATATTTTTACCACCTTTTTTTTCTTCTGCTAGATCAGAGTGGATGATCATATCATCAGAACAGAACAAGGCCTTCTGCTGCGTAGTCTACAGCGAAAGGATTCAGGCAATTACCTCTGTCATGCCGTGGAACACGGATTCATACAAACTCTTCTTAAAGTGACCCTGGAAGTCATTGATACAGAACATTTGGAAGAACTTCTTCATAAAGATGATGATGGTGATGGCTCTAAGACCAAAGAAATGTCCAACAACATGACACCCAGCCAGAAGGTCTGGTACAGAGACTTCATGCAGCTCATCAACCACCCCAATCTGAACACAATGGATGAGTTCTGTGAACAAGTGTGGAAAAGGGACCGAAAACAACGTCGGCAACGGCCAGGACACACCCAAGGGAACAGTAATAAATGGAAGCACTTACAGGAAAATAAGAAGGGTAGAAACAGGAGGACCCACGAATTTGAGAGGGCACCCAGGAGTGTCTGAGCTGCATTACCTCTAGAAACCTCAAACAAGTAGAAACTTGCCTAGACAATAACTGGAAAAAATGCAATATACATGAACTTTTTTCATGGCATTACGTGGATGTTTACAACGGTGGGAAATGCAACTGAGTTCCACCAATTATAAATGAAGTCCATGAGTAACTTTCCTAACAGGCTTTCCTCCTAATACCAACACCTAATAGAGGTCAGGTGAACACAGATGTTCACTTTAGCAGACTTAATGTTTCCTACGAGATTTTATTGTACAGGTTTCGCTTTCTTCTTTGCCTGAGAAATAAAAATGTCATTTGCCATATTGCCATCTAAAGAAGAAAAACTGCATTAGCAAAGCCATTTTATTGAACTGAAAGTGTAAAATAAACTGCATGGATTTACTAAGCTGATGAATATTCCAAAATGTGGTTGGATTCAAGGATATTTTTTGTCTACCAGCACTCATGTTTATACGTACTGGAGGAGTAAAATGATACGGAATGAAACGGTCTGTGGAAATATAAAAGACAGAAACCATTCATCATCCAGAAGAGAAATGGAATACACTGATCTACTACTGATGTCTTCTTTCAGCTTTGATCTAAAGATGTATTTTATTATAACTATAATTTAAATGTACCATGACAAATATACAGTAAAAATTAGCTCTTTTCTAAGCTAGAGTAGGTCTTTGTCTTACAATTATTGTGCTATATAGTTTTTGTTTTAAAAACTCCAATTGTGTGCTGCTTTTTTTGACATTTTGTCTTCAGTTCTGCAAGAAGGATAGCCAATATTGTTCTAGAAACATATATACATTATTAACAGTTAACTCCTAAAACCTGGATATAAATTATGCTTTATTTCCTCTGAGGAATTCAAACAAATAACACCTCCCCTTCTTTAAGTATTATCTAAATTAATTTTAACCTGCATAATGTTCTCAGAAAAACAGAGCATTTAACCAGCAAAAAAAGGGAAGAAACAAATTGATTTGTTAAATGCATTTTGTTGTACCTAGTGGATCAAGGAAGAAAAAAGGAACTGTATATTTCATGGAAATAATAAGCATTGTCTTAATATAATGTTAATAGAAAATGTCTCTTACTTCTGTGCTTGAATCTCTGCATGATATGTGAGACATAAAAACGCTCTCATGATTCCATTAGGAATCTGTGCCACTTAATTTTTTTGAAAAGAGAGAGATCAGTAATATTCAGAACAACAGCTTAAAAGCAAATTTCCCAACTGTTTACATATGTATCAACTGCCTCTTATTTCACCGTGTCTAAGACAATTATCTGTCTAAAGAACACATGATTCTTTTCACATCGATGGGAGTGACTCTTATACAAACTGTTTTCCAGGACACAACTCACACTTAAAACATATAAAACTCTTTGTCTCCTGCAACAACTTATAAAAAAAGGTAAAAAATTATTAATTAAGGACTTGCCTGCTTTATTGTCCTAAGGTGATTCCTTGTGAATCATTGACTTCTCAAGGAATGTGTAAGGATGTCTGCATCTTACACATCTTGAGGATGTGTAAGACCTTCAGCATTACGACACGGTTTCTTTCGCACTGCACTCTCCTTTGCAGGAATCCCTCCCTAGGGCCTTCATAATGCACAAAAATGCAAAGGAAACATCTTATTGCTAATTAATGAAAGCGGCATTGAAATTCTAACTCTAGATGTCTTGGGATTCTAATTAACTCAGCATTAATTTCTCACCTCCGACTACAGTGACTTTTTAAAAAATTCTCTATCAGCTGAAATATTTCACAGATGGAAGCTCATGTTTCAGTTTTAGTGGTGACTTTGAATAAGCAATTTGTTGACGCTTGTTTCAAATGAAAGCCTAAAAATATTCTACGTTCAGTTTTAGGCTCTATTGAGTAATACAGTGTTACTTTTAGAAGTACATGGTAGCTGAATTTTAAATTATTTAAAGGACACACTCCAGTAGAGAAAAAAAACATGTTTGAAATATAAATCAAAGAACAAAGAGTGCTGCAAAAATAGATCATTCTTTTATTTTCGTAGAGTAACTTAACTGTACTAAAATTCAGTGTTGCATTTCATTCTAAATTTGCAGCTGAAACAAATTTATTTGCAATAACAGAAGTATCTTAGTTCTTATTAGTCCTCAAAAATAAAGGATTTAAAGGGATAGAAGTTTTCTGATAACTTCAGGAGGCCTTCCAGTGTCTGAATGCATTTTGTTTAGCATTATGAAATATCCATAGAAAGAAAGTCTAGACTTCAATTAAAAGAAACAAAAACAAATCTACTGGCATGTCTTTCTTTATAAACCATCAAATCTAAGTTTTCAGAGAAAATTATAGATATAACTTGCAGGTAAATAACTCTTATTACAGTCATAATCTTCTGCCAACGTGTATTGAGAGGGACAGTTTGCAAGAACAGTAGTCAATGTCCCGTTTAATTTAGTTTTAATAAATTTTGGCATATGCGTGTATCATCAGAGTTGAAACTTTGTTAAGAGACTCATGTGACCTTGAGCAAATTATGACAGCAATCTTAAGGTAGGAAAAAGGTACATCACAGCAGAGAAATTATGGCTCAGTTGAAATCAAATGTAAAATGTAAATGCACACTTAATGCTACTTTAATGTATTATTTAGTGATTTTTTAATGATATGTGTTTAATATTTTTGCTACCTACACATTAGGCAAAAGAGATGTAAATAATTTTGAAAAGAAGAGGAAGAACAGTATAAAATGCAAGTTTTTATAGGTACTCCATTTCAGTGTGTTCAACATCATCCTAAAATGCAAGATTTTCCCACCTGGGTGTCAAGGTGGCTTATGTGCTATTTAAGGGCAGAAGGTGTGTGCCCAATCAATACGCATGTTTTTTGCCAGGTAGTAAATATGTTCCAATCTGTATTTATCATTGCATTTCAGATGGGAACTAGAAAACTGGAGAGAAAATGTAATGAAATTGCTGCTGTAAATTATTCCTTTTAGCATGTATTCAGTTGCTAAATACACATTTCTTCAAAATATTTGAATTCAGATGTCTTTACTGTTCCCTGTAGCATATGGTGTCAAGGAACAAGTTTAGAAGGAATAAGTTTAGAAAATGTTGAGAACCAGAGTCAGGTTGCTACGTAATCAGCTAGCAGATTTCTTCATTGTAGTCATCTGTAAACTGGGTTCTATATTTATGGTGATTATGTGAATTTTTATGCCCTTTAAATTAAGTATTGTTACTTTTATGTCATACCTAAAAAGGAAATATGGGGATGAAATTCTATCATGTCGTTATGATAATCAGTTTGGTTTTATTCAGGATCTACAAAGATTCCCCATAATTGTTATGGAAATTGCCTATCCTGAAGGTCATAAGCAAGCATTTTACTAATATGGAGTGATTAGTATAACATTTTGAAATTTTTGTTTTATGAATTCATTTTTAAACACAATTTGCATTCACTTTAATGGAAATCTATCAAGTTTCATGGCTTCCAAGACACACGTAACAAATAGAATTCAACGTCATCTTATTGTGTTATAATGTGTTAGATATAAACTGGCCTAATGCCAAAGACATCTATGCTTCTTATTTTAACTTTGTTTGTAATAATCATTTAAAGTCATTGTTAACGTTTGCAAAATACGTGTTTCCATAAAGAAGAAAACATTATTTTTCAAAAAATCTGCAAAATCCTATTAGTTTATTTGATTTCTAACAATTTTCTTATACTAATTAATTAAAGAAACATACTTTTTTAAAATTAATATGCTAAGAGGACCCATAAATGAAAGAGAGTGAAGCCACAGACATGGTGCCTCATATAGTACGGCGATTTTCACAGTCAACCTGACCAAACAAACACCTTGGTTTTCATTTCAAACGTGCAAGCACACACAGGCACAGGTACCAAATTGAATCAAACCAAACAAAAAGATGATTTTGAATATAGAGAAATTGGGTTTCTAAACACTTTGTACTTTAGAACCGGATTCCACCTGTTGGATTAAATTCCGCTGATATATCTTGTCTGTGTACTATGCGCTAGGCACTGGTAGGTGATGAGGATACTCAGATGAGTGAGACAACCCCTGTCCTCAAGAGCTCACAATGAAATAAAGAAAACAGGAATATGACTTACCATCATCTTATCTGATCCTCTAGTCCCTAGATTAAGCTAACCACCTTCTCTGCACTAAATCTGTGCTTTGTATATACTTTTTATTGCCACACTTAATCACGAAGGTGTAATTTCTGTTTACATCCCCATCTCCCTTTCTAGACTGTGAGCTCCTTGAGGGCAGGATCTAATTTATCTCTGCCATCAGTGCCTCACATGACGACTGGAATAGGAAAGGAGCTCAATAAGTCATGGCTGGAAAGAACCAGATTACAATGTGATTAACTGCCAAATGCAAGCTCATAATAAAAGTGCTATGGGATCAGATAGGAGGGAGTATTTTAACTGTGGAGAGGGATCATGGAAAGCTTCATAAAACAATGCAAGCTGTGAATTAAAATATGTCAGATTTGCCCAGAAGAAGTAAAATGAAGGGCAATCTTGATAAAAGACATAAGGAGAATGGAGGAGAGGTGTGAAAAATACTTTTATTCTGGGAAAAAGTATTCCCTGTGTTTGTATGAGCACAGCGTTCATAAAGAAAAGTAAAATGTCCCATTACTATGAGTCAAAATGGTACATTTCCTTGGTTTTTCTTAGAATTTGATTTATTGCCCTCTCTTAATAACCCACATTCTCATCACTGGCACATGGTGTCATTCATTCTGCTTCCTTGCGCCCCCTGACCTCTTGGCTCTCCCTCCCTAGCTTCCCTCTTAGTGCTGACCGCTTATCTTTACTCAGCTGCAGTCATAGCACTGGGCAGTGTTCCCGCAACCATCTTCAAACTAATCTTTATGCCATAATCGCCTCTCCAGTTCAACCTGTCGTGCTTCAGCTGGCATTCAGAATTCCACAGACGAATGGCTGGGAGAAAACAGCTTCACTAGGTTGACCCCTCCGTGCTCAAAGTTCGAATGAAGTTTCTCTTATTCTTCAGCTACTTTCAGCATTACCTCACTCATCTAGTATTAGATGACTTGGCCACGGGTTCCGACATTGCCGTGCTAGTTAGCGAGGTGACTCACAACCAGGACTTCATCAAAGATAGCATTAAAATATGAAGCCTCCATTTGTTCCATGGATACCCTAGACGGAGTACCTCAGGGCTAAACAATGATGCAGATGAGGTTAACACACATGGTTAACAGGAAAAGTCTCCTATTTTTTTCTTTAAACAAAAAAATTGTTAAAAAAAAATGAGGCCTAGCTACATCTTGAACCTGTCAACTCCACACCACCATTATATTAAACTGTCAAGTTTTTTCTCATATAACAAAAGAATGTATTTTGTTTCTCTTAATCTAAACATTATACTTGTAGACACACTGTTTATTTATATGGTACCTCAGCAAAAGTTTTCATAAATGTGTTCAAGTCATCACAATTTGGGTAAATTTGAAGTCTCAACTTCCATCCCCTTTTGTAAATCTCACTGAAGCTTTAGACCTCAAGTAAACTACATGTTTTTAAATTCATGTCAATTTGTGTAACCCAGTTCTTAATGTTTTCATTGTTTTATTGATAACTAATTCCAGAGAGGCTTAAACTTTTTTAGACAAAGTTTTGTGTCTTAAAATCAAACAGCTTTTCCACCGTAGGACTTTTTAATGCATCTCAATTTTCAGAAGGCTTGCATCCTTGAATTTCGAAAAAAGAATGACAGTTTCATTAGTCCTGAAATGTTCTTGTTTTTTCATGCAATGTTTTAAGTTCCTGATAAATGTCAACAAATTAATATAGGTCTCTATATACCATTCAATAAATTCGACTTGAATTTAGATAATGACTAAAAATGGTACATCTATGTTTCAAATTTGCATTGTTGACATCTATCAATTTCAGAAACATTGCTCATTTTCTTCTTTGCATTACTTTTGACCCTAGTAGTATGTTTGTTGAAATTAATTTTACTGTATTTAGTTTGGGAAGCAGGTTAAATTATTACCTAGTGAATATTATACAGCATCAGAAATAAAATCTGGCATCCATATGGAAAAGTGTACTATCAAAGAGTATATTGAATTCTTACAATTATGGTATATATTCACTCAGGAAAGCATAATTAAATACTCACCCCAAGATTATTATATTTTGACCAAAGCAATAGTCATTAATTTTAGAAGCATGCCATTATTAAGATTTCTCCTTTAACTTCTTAACCTCTCTAGAATTTAAAAAACAAACAGCAAATGTCCTAGATTACAGAATCCCTAATCATTCGAAAAGTAACATATCCTGTTCCCCCTAATGGATATTGGAATATAATTTCCAATT